GAATTGCTTAAATCAAGAACGGTTGATCTCAAATCAACTTGATATATATAAGGAATGTACTTCAACTCACTGATTCCACTCATACTCTACAGAAGAAACATTTATATGTTTCAATTCCTGTAGTAAAAATATCAACCAAACTGGTGGAACAACAAGCTTCATAAAAAAAAAACTAATTTGGGGTGTTTGAGTTTGATTATTTTTTGTGAAGAAGAAAAGACAATAGATTAGATTGTGAAGAAGAAAAGAAAGAAAAAAAAACAATAGAAAAAATGGGCATTCACGTTCGGGTCTTCATCCCAGCCGTTGATTTCGATCCAACGACTAAAAGTGTTGTCCTCAAATAAGCGTCCGTACCAGAGAACATCTCCCGTATTTTTTACTTTCTTTGTTTTGTTTTTTTTGGTCAACCCCGTATTTTTTACTTTGTTTGTTAACCCTATTTATTTCCTTTTTTCCTTTTTCTTCCTTTTTTTTTTTGGCCTGAAAACAAAACCCCATCATAAACCCTGAAAGAACTACTCACTTCAAACTCTCGCAGCTCAAAAATGAGCCGAAGACATTTGAAAACTCTGCTCTTGCACTCAATCTCCACCATGTCATCGTCCCCTCTTAAATCCAACCCCCTTTTCACCACAAGTCAATCACAAGCCTTCCCTTCTCCATCCAAATTCTTTCACCAAAATCTCAAACTTTGCCAGGCCAGATTCCTTTGCACTTCTTCGCCTGACAATCTCGATGGTCTGGTCGATCCTGACGACTTGTCAATGCCTGGGAGTTCTGGAGTTGAGTCTATTTCGGCAGAGGAATTCGCCTCTTTGCGCGATTCGGTGTTAGATACCAGTGCCGGTGATGGGTCTTCAACGCCTAAATTTGAATCAGATAAGTTTTCTAATAATGCCATTTTGATTTCGAATAAGATTAGGAATTATAATGATGCGTTTGGTGACCAAACCCAGAAGTTTCTTAGGCAGTTTAGGGATAATCTGAATGAAACTCTGGTGATGGAAGTACTGAAGCTTATTCGATATCCTGAATTAGGTGTGAAGTTTTTCATATGGGCGGGTAGACAAATTGGGTATAGTCACACTGGTCCTGTGTATGATGCCTTGTTAGAGTTATTGGAGTGTGGTAGTAATGATAGAGTACCAGAACATTTTCTCCGAGAAATTAAGGGTGATGATAGAGAGGTGCTTGGGAAGTTGCTTAATGTGTTGATACGGAAGTGTTGCCGAAATGGTTTGTGGAATGTAGCTTTGGAAGAGCTTGGAAGGCTTAAGGATTTCGGATACAAGCCAACTCGAGCAACTTACAATGTTTTGGTTCAAGTGTTTTTAAAGGCTGATAGGTTGGATACAGCACACTTGGTTCATGTGGAGATGTCAGATTTGGGGTTTAAGATGGATGAGTATACACTTGGTTGCTTTGTTCACGCCCTTTGCAAAGCTGGGAGGTGGAAGGAAGCGCTCACATTGATTGAGAAGGAAGAGTTTGTGCCCAATACTGCTCTTTATACAAAGATGATATCTGGGTTGTGTGAAGCTTCACTTTTTGAGGAAGCTATGGATTTCTTGAACAGAATGCGGTGTGATTCTTGCATTCCTAACGTCGTAACCTATAGGATTTTGCTTTGTGGGTGTTTAAAAAAAAGACAGCTCGGTAGGTGCAAGAGGATTCTTAGTATGATGATCACAGAAGGTTGTTATCCAAGCCGTAAGATATTTAATTCTCTTGTACATGCTTATTGTAGGTTAGGAGATTACTTTTATGCTTACAAGTTGCTTAAGAAAATGGTAAAATGCGGGTGCCACCCAGGCTATGTGGTTTACAATATCTTGATTGGTGGTATATGTGGAAACGAGGAATTACCTAGCTCAGATATGTTAGATTTGGCTGAAAAAGCTTATGGTGAGATGCTTGATGCAGGGGTTGTGTTAAATAAGGTCAATGTGAGCAATTTTGCACGATGTCTTTGTGACACCCGAAAATATGAGAAAGCCTATAATGTTATCCGTGAAATGATGAGCAAGGGTTTTGTGCCTGACACTAGTACATACTCTAAAGTTATTGGCTTTTTGTGTAATGCATCCAAGGTAGAACAAGCATTTTTGTTGTTTGAAGAAATGAAAAGGAATAGTATTATTCCTGATGTCTATACCTATACTATTTTAATTGATAGTTTTTCTAAAGCTGGCCTTATTGAACAGGCTCGTAGCTGGTTTAATGAAATGGTAGGAAATGGCTGTGCTCCTAATGTGGTGACTTATACTGCTCTTATACATGCATACCTTAAAGCAAAGAAGGTGTCTGATGCAAATCAACTTTTTGAGATGATGTTGACTGAAGGTTGCATTCCCAATGTTGTTACTTATACTGCTTTAATTGACGGTCATTGTAAAGCTGGTAGAATCGAAAAGGCCTGCCTGATTTATGAAAGGATGAGAGGTAATGTGGAAATCCTTGATGTTGATATGTATTTTAGAATTGACGATCAGAGTATGAAAGAACCTAATGTTTATACTTATGGAGCTTTGGTGGATGGTTTATGCAAAGCACACAAGGTCAAAGAGGCCCGTGACTTATTGGATGCTATGTCGGTAGAAGGTTGTGAACCTACCCATATTGTGTATGATGCTCTTATAGATGGATTTTGCAAGTGTGGGAAGCTAGATGAAGCGCAAGAGGTGTTTACCAAGATGTCAGAGAAAGGATACAGTCCAAATGTGTATACTTACAGCTCTTTGATTGATAGGTTGTTTAAGGATAAAAGACTAGATCTCGCTTTAAAAGTCTTGTCTAAAATGCTAGAAAACTCTTGTGCACCAAATGTTGTTATCTACACAGAGATGATTGATGGTCTTTGCAAAGTTGGGAAGACAGATGAAGCCTATAAGCTTATGCTGATGATGGAAGAAAAAGGGTGTTATCCAAATGTTGTTACTTATACTGCAATGATAGATGGCTTTGGGAAAGCAGGTAAAATCGAAAAATGTCTTGAGCTCTTTAAAGAAATGAGCTCTAAAGGTTGTGCTCCAAATTTTGTCACGTACAGGGTTTTGATAAACCATTGCTGTTCAACTGGCCTTTTGGATGAAGCTCATAAGCTTTTGGATGAAATGAAACAAACATATTGGCCAAAGCATATGGTAGGCTACCATAAAGTTATTGAAGGTTACAACCGAGAGTTCATGAACTCTCTTGGGATTTTAGATGAGATGA